CTGGAGTTCCTAGAGAGACACTGACCACCTAGGGGACCTGCTCGCTCTTGGGAATGGCCTGCTGGGGACATTGGTCAGGGAGCTGCTGTGGGTGTTTGCAGGTTTGCTGGGAAACCATGAACTTTGCTTTTGTTTCCATTGCTGAGTCTCCCCAATAAGCAGATTTGGGGGTCAACTGGGCAGCAAAGCCCAGGATATCAGCAGACACAGACACTGGGGTGGCCTGTCCACATATCTGACTGCCCAGATGACCTCCCTGGCACCAGACACCCGCTTATTCTGAGCCAGTGGTATGGCCCAGTCTGGTCCAGATATGGGAGGAAGGGGCTGAGCCCTCTGCTGCCCCCAAGCCTGTGTCCTGAATCCACTGTGACTGTTTCTGGTGAGACAGAGGAGGGAAAAGAGAGGATGGAGAAACCCCATTCTGGGACCAGGCACAGCTCTCCGCCTCTCCCCATCTACCTCCCACCTGCCATGGGCTCTGGTGGGGCCCAGGAAGGTCAGAACCATAGCCAAGACAGGTTTAGCACAAATGATGGACCACTCCCAGTAGAATTCAGGGTGCCCAGAGGACTGGAGGAGGCATAGGAGCCAGACCCATAGATCCAGAGCAAAGGCTCCAAGACCCCCCACTTTGCTTCCAGCCTCCTGTGCTCCATGTGGCTTCTCTGCATCCAAGTCTGTGCTGTGTCCTCCTCCTCCATCTTCCCTCTGAGCAACTGGTTCTTGAGGGAAGGCCCTGGAGAGAAACTGAACATTGAAGCAATGAAAAAAATGCCACAGCGGTCGGATCCAATCAGACTCACAGCGGCTCTGTGACAGAGGACACTGCTTCACAGGGTTCCTAAGGCTGTCACCTTACTGAAGCCCATGGCCTCGTCTTTCTCCCACAGAGCAGCTGGTGGGTTTGAACCAGGGACCTTTTATTTTGCAGCCAACTACTTAATCACTTGACCAGTAGGGCTAAATCAGGACAGGCAAGGCCATGAACCTCAGGCCCAGGGGAGGTCATCCCGGTGGAACGGTGGTATGGTTGGCTAAGAAGGCGCTGGCCCCAGCTCTCAAGCTGAGAGCACTGTTACTGCCCCATTCTATAGGCAAGGAAGCTGAGGCACAGAGAGGTCTGAAAAGAGGGATTTAAATGCAAGAGTCCAGAGGACTGGGGTCACATGTTCACAATGCAGCAGGTAGTGCGTGTTGTTTCATTTGGAGGCCAAATCGGGGTGTCTATGTCTGCAGATGTTTGGACTCCTACTCCCTCAAGTGTTTATCCCCTACATCCCAGCACCCCCACAGGAAAGGGCTGGGAGAGGATTCTGGGGTCCTGCTTGGAAGGAGCCCAGTCAACAAGGCCTGAGGAAGAGAGTCTAGGGTGGGTGGCTGCCTAGTGAGTCCCCAAAGATGGGGTTCTCAGGAAGCAAAGCCACTGGAACAGAGGTCCCCGATGGGGTTAGGCTCCTAGAAGGAGGGTGGGGAGGGGGACAAGAGGGCCCACCTGCTTTTGGGTCAGTCAAAGGTTTGCAAGGTTTCTGGGTTGAAGACCCTTACCTTGCCCAGCAGACAGGGAAGCTGACCTGGTGGGGGGTATGGCTCGAAGTGCCAGTGACTAGGCCATGGGTACAGAGACCTGCCTGACTCTTTGGGGCTGGGCCTTTCCCAATGACCAGCCTTTGCAGTGAGCACAGTGAGGCCTGGCAGGCCTGGCCCTTCTGGATGTCCCTGCACTGGTTGAGGCATCGTGGGTCAAACAGCGTTCTCAACATTTCCTAGGTCTGGAGTCCTGGGGGAGAAACCTGGCAGTGTATCAGACTTGGAGGGTGAGGATGTGGGAGGCTGGCCCAAAGGGGTCACACACCTGCAGGGACACACACAGCCGAGAGGGTGGCCACCCTGAGGTCTGTCCCCCCAGGTGGTTGGTGGAGGACCTTGGTTATTCTGGAGCTAAGAGAAGATATGAGGCTGGGCCGGGTGGGTGTTTGTGTTGGCTGGCTGCAGGGTCCCCATGACTTGGTTGGACATAGAGGCCAGCATGCAGGCACCTGGGGACCCCGCCGGGGGGTGCAGACACCTGGAAACTCTGTGGTGGGAATTTTGGGGTTGAGGGCCCCGGGGTTCTCAGAGTGGGTGTGTCTGTGAGCTTGTGTGTCTATGTGCCAGTGTCCGGTCCCATCCTATGTGCATTTCAGCACACCAGCCCCAGGGGGCAGTGTCGGCCTGGGTTCGAGTCTTTACCCCCACAGCTGGCTGGGTGACCCTGAACATTCCAGCTGACTCAAGCAGAAAGGACTGGCAAAGGATTCCTGGGTCCTGCCTGGAAGGGGCTCAGCCGACAGAGAATACATTAAGCAAGAGTGAAGGGGGTCTTACCTGGAAGGTCCCTGGCGGGCCATTCAACAGTCTCTGGTCCTCTATTTACCCATCTGTAAACTGGGGATCTTAAAGATGCTGACCTTGTAGCTGTGGACCATGGGAGAAGGGCTCACTGTATTACCGCTATGTTCCTTTAGATCACTGCTCAAATGTAGCAACGGTTGTGAGGTCGGCACAGGACCAGGCAGTGTTTCCTTCTGTTCTGCAGATGGTCGCAATGAGTCAGTACCGACGCGATGGCACCTAACAACAACAACAACAATCAGTGGTTAGACACAGTGCAGAACTCTCCGAAGATGGCAGGAGGGAGGCGGAGGTTGGGTCCTGGGACGTCTACATTGTAGAGGCAGAGGGATGGACGAAATGGCTCAGGCGGCCTTTAAGAGGTGTGCCCTGGCTTCTAACCCCCACCATCAGGAGGTGCCTATTTCCCAGGGTGTGTGTGTGTGTGTGGGGGGGGGGCGGCTGTCTGTCTGCAGCCGTGCACACTCTGTGCTGGGCTCTGACTCAGCAGGAAGAGGGCCGGGAGCTTCAGCCCTGCTCTGCTTGCCCAGCTGTGCCAACATCTGAAGAGTCTGCCTGAGCCTTATCCCAGGCTGGGGTTTTCCAGTGGGCTATGGGCACTCCTGCCGGACCCCCTCAGCCCCTCCATTTGCTTGGGGGTTCTGTAGGGCCTCGGAGACTGGGCTCCCTCTGGACCTTGGTCTCTCAATCTGTAAAATGGAGCCATCAGATTGGACACTCCCCACGATCTCTGAGGCTGGGCCCACTCTGCAGGGAAAAGTTGGATAGGCCACCACCCACCTCCCCTGCAACGCCAGTCGCCCTGTCTGTCTGCCCTGACATGTGGCCCCGAGGCCTGGCCCCGTGAAGGCTGGCCGCCCTGCTTGAGGTTCAGGCCTCGGCAGCCAGCAGGCAGCTGGGCCGGCCTGGCCGGACTCCAGAGGCGCAGAGCGGGTTAAAGTGTGCGCCAGGCCCTGCGGGCGGGCGGGCGGGCGGGCTGGCGGGTGGGGGAGCGCCGTGGGAAGTGTGAGTTCCTCCCTGTCTGCCTGACAGTTATAAAGGCGGCCCCGGCTGGCCGCCGCCACTGGGCTGCGCGCCCCTCCCAGGGAACCCCGCTCTGGGAGGCTCTTTGAAGTGGGAGACGGGGAGGAGGAGGGGAGGAGGACAGGAGCCAGCCCAGGACTGCGCCTCACACACCACCCCAGCACCTGGCGCTCTGGTCCTTTCTCCGGAGAACCTGCTGACCTCAGCCAGGTAGGCTGTCTCGCCCATCCCTGCCTCACCCGGCAGCCCTCCTGCACAGGCACCAGGTGCAGCCAGCACCCACTCCACAGCACAGAGAGGGGCCAGGCCCTGGAGGCATCCAGTACCCCTGGGGAACCCGCTATGTAACAGGAGGAGGACTGTGGGGAGGGGTCCCCAGCTCGGGCCGCCTCTCGGGCAGGTTGGCCCAGGAGGATGGCTCCCGCATGAGCTAGCCTGGAGGAAAGCCAGCAGTGTCTGGGAGTCTTAATGAGGACCATGTGTGAGATCATCTCCACACCTGTCTTCAGTCTTGGGCAGGGCTGCCTGGGCCCTGGGTTGCGGTACATGCTGGTGGAGACCTGTGGGGGTAGGGTGCTAGGTGGGGATCTTAAGGCTCCTCATTCCAGGATGGATGAGTGTCTGGCAGGCAGAAACATTTGTGGGGTTCTGAGAGTTTGCAGGTGCTTAGCTGAGTGGGGTTGGTGAGTCCGGTTATGTGTGTGGGGTGGTGCCGGAATACTTTCCCACCGTTCTGCCCTGAAATCAGCTGATGCCAGAGGAGGGTCCCTGCGTTTTCTCTTCTCATTGCCTGCTGTGTGGCCTTGGATGAGTTGGCTCTCCTCTCTGAGCTGGATGCTCTGATACCCTTTCTGTAATGTGATAGCTGGTGACTTGCAGGAGAGGAGACAAGCCCCAGATAGCAGACACGAGGCTCTCTCTTCCCTCCTAAGGGCAGGGGTCCTCACTGGGGAAGCAGAGGTGAGCATGGACCCAGGATGCTAGTGGTGTTCCAGGCCAGAGGTACCGATGTATGGGGGACTCCCTTCTGCTGCTCCCCATACCAGCAGAATGGGGGGCGGGCTGTAGACATGTGGCTTCACCTCTGCTGGTGACCACGGGCAGGCTGGGAAACTGAGGCCAGGGAGGGGCTGAGCTAGGCTGAGACCACCCATACTCACTGAGTCCTCCAGAGCTCAGGTGGCCGCCAAGGGCATCGTTCCATTCAAGGTCTTGGCAGTTCTATTTGTCAAGGCGATGGGAGCCAGTCATGTCATCTCTTTCTCTCCTCAGGCAGCCTCTCCCCAGGCCTGGGCTTGAGCAACTCAGCTGTCCAGGGTCTTAGCATTCAGAGGTTACCACATGTCCTGAGGTTTAGGATAGCAAACACTTAGCACACAAACCATCTTGCCATGTCCCAAACCATGGCAGGCATCGCCAATCACACCCATAGAGCTCTTTCTTGCTGAGACCTCCAGCAGGGCTCTCATGCAGCCATTACCAATCGATTCCAGATAACCTGAGGCCTGGGGATTGGAAGGACTCCAAAGACTTTTCCTCATTGTGAACCCTGGTCACAGGAAGAGGTGCTGAGGCCTGGCCTGGTGGTGACAGTAACTTTGCTTCCTAGGATGGATGGCAGACAGAGGTGGTGTGCACATCAGGCCTGGGCTCTGCTGGCTGTGACACTTGTAACTGGGGGAGTAGCACCCACTGGGGCCATGGTGAGTGGGGTTTTGTTACCAAGTTGTCCCCCAATGCTGTGGTCACCCCCCAGTGGACTGGCTCTGGCAGGGCTGTGTGGCAGGACTGAACATCCTCCCAGAGCTTTACAGAACCACCCGACTGGTCCCTAAACTGGGGCATTAGCTGTTTTGAGCCCCTGGTGAAGGGTGGAGGTGGGTGGGCCATGTGCTGGGGCCCCCACATTGCCCCAGTTGCCAGGGAGAGAAAGCGATCCGATTAGGTGTTGTTTGGTGCCACGCCAAGCTGCCAGCACATTCTGGGTCCTAAGAACCAGAGAAGCCACGATCCACCTAGCCTGGGAGTTCCACCTGGTATCTGATCCCAGGCTGCCAAGGGGATTGGTGATGCCCACGGGCATGGGACAGGCAGACCTCAGAACCTCTTCTAATGCTCCCCAGGACAACAGTCCGACGTCTAACAGCCTGGAGGGAGGCATGGCCACCACAGCCTACTGGTGGGGAGAGTGGACCAAGTGGACGGCGTGTTCCCGCAGCTGCGGGGGTGGGGTGATGTCTCAGGAGCGTCACTGCCTGCAGCAGAGGTGTGAGGCCAGCATGGGGCTCATGGGGACTGCATGGGGACCAGGGACAGCATGAGACATGGTAGACTCTCGGCTAGGCAACGTTTCAGGCTGAGGGCAGTTAAGTAATGCTGTCTTTCCACGAGGCCCTGGGGGCGTTCATTACACTCCTGGGCACTGAGAGTTCACATACAGGGGGGCTAACCTGCAGGGTGAGGAGCCCCCAGAGTCAGACAGACCTAGGTTCAAGTCTTGCATCTGCCACTATCTAGCTGTGTGGCCTTGGGCAAGTTACTTAACATCTCTGAGCCTTGGTTCTTCCTTTGGAGAATGGAGGCCATGCTGGGGCCCTTCTCATCTTTCTGGGAGTCTACACCTAAGCACAGGTCCAGGATGGGGTAGATCTTGTTAGTCAGATGTAAGATTGGGATTGTTCTTATTCATGGGTGCAGCGGCCCCTATGCTTGTGCTGGGGCAGAGAGGTAGATCTGATATCCCCCTCTAAAGCACTGGTTTCAATGTGTGTGGGGGGGAGGGGGTGGGGCAGGGAAGGAACGAGAATCAGAGAAAGTTCTGGAACCTAGTGTCCTTGGATCAAGAGGCTCTGCCTGGAGCAGGGTGGGAGGTCTGCAACCTGGCTGCTCAGGGTCCATGTCTTCCTTCCAGGAGGAAGTCTGTTGTGGGAGCCAGCAATCGGACCTGCACGGGCACACCCAAGCGCTTCCAGCTGTGCAGAGCACAGGTGAGGCCCACCGAGGGCAGTGGACGGATATGCTGGACCTCTGTCCTGGGCCTGCTCCCCGTCCACCCCCTCCCTGCCCCCGAGACCAAGGGAGCAGGTTGATAGTCTAGTTACAGGGAGAAGGCTGAGAGGTCCCTGATCACCTATGAGAATTAGATCCTTACCGCTGCTTGTCTCCCATATGCTCTCCACCAAGCACAGGGACTGTGCTGGGAACAAGACAGACTTGTTTGTCCTGGTGGAGAGGTTGAAGACTCTGGCTGCAGCAGCTCCTGTCTCCTGAGTCTTGCATGGGTTGCTTGCTGGGAGAGGAGCCAGAGTCTTGGGCTCTCTGCTGCGCTGTGTAAGACAGTCTGTCTGACTGTGTTTCGGGCTCTTCGGACTGCTTGGGCATCTTCTGTTCTAGGATTCCTCAGTCTCATGGCTCCTCAGTTCACCCACAGAGGGGCTGAGGGAGCCTTCAATGAGGCGATGAGAAGTTAGTCACTCTGAACCCCAACACCTGTCTGGGGGCTGTCTGGGCAGGAGGGCACACACGCAGGTTGGTGGCCACGGGCCTGTGCTAGTACCATTGGCTGGCTCTCTTTGGGACCGCATGACTGGGGCCCGAGAGGACCGACATGAGTGTTGGTGGCTGCTTGGCCCAAGCTCACACCACTGAGCCTTCTGTGAGGAAAGTTCCCCTTCTGTAAAGCTCACCTTCCGCCCCCACGTGATTCCATAAAAGTGTGTGGGCGTCCACTGCGTGACACATGAAGAGTCGGTGTGGAGGGACAGTCATGGTCCTCTGCTGGTCTCCTCCCTTTCCCAAGAGAGTGAGGCATGAGGGCGGAGACCACCTGTGGGCTGGACTCCCGGTGTGGAGCCCTTGCTCAGTTACTTCCTGCCTGGTCCGGGCAACATGCCTTTGTTGGCCCTGTCCCTGAGCACCGCCCGCCCCCCCACCGCCCCGTGTCTCCTTGGTTCCCAGGAGTGTCCGCCGGATGGGAGGAGCTTCCGAGAGGAGCAGTGCATCTCTTTCAACTCCCATGTGTACAACGGGCGGACGTATCAGTGGAAACCCCTGTACCCAGGTACCTGCAGCCCCCACACCCTGGGGAGAGGACAACCGGCCATGGTGGCAGACAGCAATAGCTGTGTCCAGTGGATGAGAGAGGCTGGGAGGACTGAGACACAGAGGGGGAGTGCCTTATTGAAGTCACAGGGTGGTAGCTTCAGACCCAGGACTGGACCTCCTCGGGGCTGTCCTGCCAAGGTCCCTGCCGGCGTGGCATCTTCGGTCAGTGTCCAACTCTACATGGCCATACCTCATGGACAAGGCTCAGGGACATCCCCATAGGAGTCCCGACAGGGATGGCCACCTAATCGGCGGGAGCTGGGTTGTATAGTGTGGTCATCCTTTTCATCCCCCTACCCCATTCTCTCTCTCCTTCCCCCACCCCCACCCCCCATTTATCCTTTTCTCTCTCCTTCCTTCTCTCTCCTTTCCTCCCTATGGGGGGGGGGCAGGGGGCGGTAAGAGGATTTAGAAAAATCTTGTGAGTTGGCCTCCCCAAACCAAGGGGCAGATCCTGAGGGCCTCCAGGGTCAGCAGCCCAGGATTGAGTTGTCTCAGTTCACCTGTAGGGAGATGTCCCATAAGGGTCACAATTTACCTAGGGAGACACCTAGGGAGATACCTCGCTCTACAAGGGTCTCAGTTCACCTGTGGGGAGATTTCTCTCTCCATAAGGGTCTCAATTCATCATTAAGGGTCTCAGAAGCTGTCCCCTACCCAAATACACAGGGAGGCAGGACCTGGGTTGGGGCCAGCTCACTTGTGCCTGGTCTGTTTCTGCCATTGAGACACTGGGCCAGTCCCTCCCACCCCCACCCTCCACCCCCATGCTCCCAGCCTCATTTTCCCCGTTAGGAGTACTGTCCTCCATCTCCCCAGCACTGAGCCCCTTTCTCGGCCCTGGACGACTCCACCCCCTCTCCAGCACTCAGTTTCTCCGTATGTGTGCCCACATGGGAGGGGAGACCTCTTCCCCACCCCCCACTGAGCCCCTGTGACCCCCGGAAGACTCTTTACTCTCCAGGACTCAGTTTCCCCGTCTGTGTGCCCACGTGGGAGGGGAGCCGTCTCCCAGCTCCCCTGCACTGAGCCCCTCTCTGGTCCGCAGACGACTATGTACACATCTCCAGCAAGCCCTGTGATCTACACTGCACCACGGCCGATGGTCAGCGGCAGCTTATGGTGCCGGCCCGCGACGGCACGTCCTGCAAGCTCGCCGACCTGCGAGGGGTTTGCGTGTCTGGAAAATGTGAGGTTGTTAAACGTTGTAGCAAACGTTCTGATGCTCTTCTCGAGCACCCCCTACCCGCCCACCGGGCAGGGTCGGCCCCTCGCCTCCCAGCGGCCCTCTCTCTTTCCTCTGCAGCCCATCGGCTGTGACGGGGTGCTCTTCTCCACACACACGCTGGACAAGTGCGGGGTCTGCCAGGGTGACGGGAGCAGCTGCACCCACGTGACCGGCAACTACCGCAAGGGAAACGCCCACCTCGGTAAGCGCCCCCACCCCTCTCCCTTAGCCAATTCAGCCCGCTGTCCCTCCCCTCTGGGGCTGCTGAGTGGTCAGGTGTTCTTCAAGGCCCCTTTACATTGCCTGGTGCAGAATTGAATGAGTGCCTGTCGAGTTAAACTGGACCATTACACCCTCTAAGGAGCCCTGATGTGGTTAAGCACTCAGCTGCTAACTGAAAGTTTGGTGATTCAAACCTATCCACTAGTTCTGCAGAAGAAAGACCTGGCAATCAGAGTCCATAAAGACTGAAAACCCAAACCTGTTGCTGTCCAATTGTTTATGATTCACGGCAAGTCCATGTGATGTCCTCTGTATGGAAGCAGACTGCCGCAGCTTCCTCTCACAGAGCGGCTGCTTGGCAGTTTCATGCTTAACCCGCTCACTACCGGGGTCTCTAGGAGACCGTTCTGTAACACATAGGGTGGGCATGAGTGGGAATTGACAGAACTGTGGTTGATTACACCTTTTAGCTCTGGTGTTAGATGTTGGCCTACCAACCTCCGAGTTGGCAGTTCAAACCCCTCAGCTGCTCTATGGGAGAAAGAGGAGGCTGTCTGCTCCTGTAAAGATCCAGTTTCAGAAACCATATATGGGGACACTCTAAGTATAACTCGACTTTATGACAATGGGCTTGGCTTGAGATCCACTGAGCAGATGGGGAAACTGAGTTCAGAGTGGGATTGCCGGCTCAAGGTTCCTCAGTGTGGTTACTTCGGGTCACCTGTCAGGACTGTCTGAGTCCTGGAGGTTGAGAAAACAGGTTCCTCACAACCCCTGCCCCAGATGAGGGATAATTGTGCTGATCCTGTTGACCGGAGGAGGTCCCAGGGACACGTGGAGAAATGGGGTGACTTGTTTACATTGGTGGAAACAATGACTTTGCTTGTAGTATTTAAATGTGGGCTTCTATAGAAGGAGTACTGGTGGTACTGTAGGGTAAGCACGGGGCTGCTAACTACAAGGTCAGCAGTTCAAACCCACCAGGTTTCTAAGTCAAGATTTACAGCCTTGGATACCCTACGCAGGGCTGCTATGAGTCAGGATGAACTCGACGGCACTTAACACTAAGAGTTATATATCATTTAATTTTTAGTGGTGGTTATTTAACAGCCAAGGAACCTTGGTAGTATAGTGCATTACACATCGGGCTATTAACTGCGAGGTCAGAAGTTCAAACCTACCAGCTGCTCTTCAGGAGACAGAGGAGGGCTTTCTGATTAAGCAAAGATTTACAGCCTCAGAAACCTTATACCAGGCCGCTATGAGTCAAAACCGACTCAACAGCACACAACCACCACCCTTTAGCCATCAGCTCACAAGACTCATGAGTGGTTAGTAGTTGGTTCTCGTAGGCAAGCACAGGCGTGTCTACTCCATAACACTAGGCTCTAGAGGTCGTGTCTGTGTGGAGGAAATGCTACAGGTTTGCGTTTCTGCAAAAACTTTCATAAGCCTTAATGGCACCAAGCAAAGCCGTAATTACCATTAATTAATCACATGGAAAAATGTTCTGCATATTTCCAGACCCAAAAAGTAACCTATCAAATCATGCCAAGTACCACAGAACGCCTAACACCACACTAACCAAGAGTGCTGACAGACGCAGTTCAAAGCCATGGCTGAGATGCTGAGTGTAGTTCCCAGGGAAAGAGCTTGGGGGCACTGCCTTTCTTAATGGCTTGCGGCAAAACTAACGGCAAACATGAGTTTCACTTTTTGCCTTTTTTTCTGTAAAAATGGAAATCCTCTTGGGACTTCTTTCGGTTAGTGAAAACAGAAACAAGTATCGATCTTTTGTAAAAAGCAAAATGACGCAAAGTGGGCTTTTGAGAAGCGGATGATACCTGTACCTACTGCCAAACTGCTGCCCGAGTCTGTTCAGGGACATCAGTAATTTGAAGGTCACCATGCTGGCAATGTTTCTGCCAAAATAAAAATAGAGTAAAAGAGAAAATTTCAAAGAACAGCTCTAGAAGACAAAGTTGAATATTGTAACAAAATGTGCAAAGACCTAAAGTTAGAAAATCAAAAGGGAAGAACACACTCAGCATTTCTCAAACTGAGGGAAGAAACAATTCAAGCCTTGGCTTACAATATTGAAGGATTCTATTGGCAAAATACTGAACGATGCAGAAAGCATCAAAAGAAGATGAAAGGAATACACAGAGTCATTGTACCAAAAAGAAATGGTTGATGTTCAACCATTTCAAGAGGTAGCATATGGCCAAGAACCAGAGATACTGAAAGAAGAAGTCCAAGGTACCAATGTACCTTTGGCATTGGCAAAGAACAAAACACACCAGGAACTGATGGAATACAAATTGATGTCTTTCAACAAACAGATGAGGCATTGGAGGTACTCACTCATCTATGCCAAGAAATTTGGAAGCCAACTATCTGGCAAACGGATGGGAAAAGATCTGTAGTTGAGCCAATTCCAGACAGGTGATCCAAGAGAATGTAGAAGTCATTGGACAATATCATTAATATCGCATGCAAGTAAAATTTTGCTAAAGATAATACAAAAATGGCTGCAAAGGTACATTGACAGAGAACTTTCAGAGGTTCAAGCCTGATTCAGATGAGGGATATCGATGCTGATATCAGGTGGATCTTGAGTGAAAGCAGAGAACACCAGAAGGATGTTTACCTGTACTTTATTGACTATGCAAAGGCTTTTGATTATGTGGATCATGACAAGCTATGGAGCACATTGCAGAGAATGAGTATTCTGGAACATTTAATTGTGCTCATGAGGAACCTATACAAAGACCAAGAAGCAGTTGTTTAAACAGAACGAGGGAACACTGAATGGTTTAAAATTAGGAAAGGTATGCACCAGGGTTGTATTCTTTCACCATACTTATTCAATGTGTATGCTGATACAACCTTGATCACTGAAAGTGAAGAGGACTTGAAACATTTACTTATGAAGATTAAAGAGCACAG